TTTTGCTTTCTGTAAGGGTAGCCAGAACGCGCCGCTAGCCAAGGGGCCTCAAGGTGCAATATTCCCAGGAATGGCCGGAGCTTGGATTTTTGATCACACGCGCTCAATCTCTCTCTCCTCTCTCTCTCTCTCTCTCTTCCCTCTCTCTCTCGTTCTCTTCTCTCTTTATTTCACTCTCTTGCTCTCTCTCCTTCTCCATGTCTCTCTATCTTTCGTGCGCCCTCTCTCTAACGCTCTCCTCTCTCTCTTTCTCTGTCACGCCCTCCCTTTCTCTCTGTTTCACTGTGTCTCAGCTGCTTTAGCATCAGCTCTGTTATGAAAGTACCAAACCTTTCTCCCTCGTCCTGTGGCTCCGGCGACGGTAGCAGTCCAGGGCTCGGTTCTGCATCAACGACCACATCCGGCTCCTCATCCCCAACCACATTTTCTTCATCTCCATCATGAGTCCCATCTGAAAACAGATTGACCATAAATTATGGCCCAGCTTTTTAATGTAGATCTCTGCATTCAAGTACACATTTTCGCTTTGTTCTTGGGCCCACCCCCTGTGCCTTTTGGCCCGCGAAAAATGGTCGTAAAATTTTTTGATCTCCGGTGGAGAAAGGATGAACTGCTGAGGAGGAGCAGGAGGAAGAAGACATCTTTAGCTAGTTTTGTGGCTCAAAAAGGAGGCTAGCCGGATTTGGAAAATCTTTCGTACTTGATCTTCGCCCTTTTTGGTTCTGGACTTTCAAAGTACTGGCAAGGTGGTATTACGGTTATTTGTTGATTTTTATCGTATATGCTTCTCCTATTGTTCTCGCGCGACACAACATGCACGTCAACAAAGAAATTTCGTACTTTATTATTGTCTCTTTTCATTTTCAACGGACGAAACTCTTTTAAAGGTGCCGGCAGGGCATATGGCTATGGGCTTCATCGATTTTGGATTCGATATGAATCTACCCGCGACCATCGCACGCAACGCGCTTCAATTTCGTAAACGATTACGACCCCTTCACCGCGGAAAGTGCGAGTTGCTGTCGCGGAAGTGGTAAAATCTATTGCCATGGGTTTTGTGTCAGTTTTTTTTTTGAAGTCCGTCTCATTTTCGCCGCTGACCGCAACACGCGACGCGGACAGCGGTAGGTCGTCGTAAAGAGTAGACCATTACGCAATAGAAAACGCCTGGCGCTGCGTTCCGGTCGTGATAAATTTCATCACCATGCCTTCTCCGTTTAGGGCGGGCGAGGTATTGCTACGATTTTCCCTTGACTTGGCTATGGATTTCGTACGGTATTTTCCTCTATCGTGAGACACAACGCGAACGGCACTCGGCCGAAGATAATGGTTGCCCAGGGGCGGGGGCGCGTTGCGTGTCGCGGGCCCAGAAGCATCGATGCGGATTTCGGAGCGGCCGTTGATCTTCCGGTTAAGGTATCTTTACAGGTACCGTGGGAACTGACTGATTGCCCAAACGATTGTGAATTGACACGAAACAGGGCATATTATTGGTATTGAAGCTCCTTTTCTGGCGCCCAGATTCATTCCCCGCTCATTCACCAACCCTGGCCGCCTGCCAGTTCCATGCTGGCTGCCCATAGCTGCTCGCCCCATAGGTCCATAACAAGCTACTCCCATTTCTATTAGTCCAAATATGACCCGGCTTCCGGCCCCCGCTTTTAGTCAGCGCTTCCTAATTGGGGTATGTGCTGTTTATTAGCAGAAAGTTTATTAGAAATTTGGTGCTAGTCGAAGCCGGAGCGGGAAAGAGCGACAGAAGGAGAAAGCGAAGGTGAGACAGAATGCCAGAGTGGGAGCGGAGAGAGGGAGAGAGAGAGAGAGAGACAGAGACGGCTATTATTAATGCGGAGTTTTTGAATGGAGCAGTCACACTTTTCAACATGATACCCTCAGAAGCGTACTCAAACTTCCGCATTTTAGATGTTTTTGGCGTAGTTTCGCAGAAAATGGAACATTACTCTGAAGTTTCTGACTAGTTCTCTCTCAGGCTCTTTCGCCCTCTCTCTGTCTCCCTAACTCACCGACTCTCTTTCGCTTTCTTTCTCTCTCTCTCTCTCTCTCTCTCTCTCTCTCTCTACCTTTAAATAGTATTTCAAGACGATGAATTTTGTGGTCTACGAATTCTTGCTCCAAAATTTCCACAACTTTGCAAATTCCTTCTGCCTTTCTCCCATATTTCATTCCGAGTCGTAGCCAGGACATAATGAGTAGTACATTATAACTTATACTCCCAATTCTGCGCCCCTAATTCCTCGACTCGTATGCAAAAGGCGAGGGTGTTTATGAGCCGTGTGTGTGGCCCGGAATCTAACGGACTCTCGATGCCCCCCGATTGGTCTCTACTCCATCCATTGGGGCTTAACGGGCCGTAGAAGGCAGAGAGAGAGAGAGAGAGAGAGAGAGAAAAAAAGAGAGAGAGCAAGTAAGATAGATGGGTGCCAGACACCGCTTCTTTTTTTGCCTTCCCCATCTTATACAACCATATTTCCCGCATCCACACACAATTTATTGGGGGCCCTCAGAAGACGAGGCATCTACGCCGTACGCGGGCTTGGCGCCTTTTTTGGGGGATTCCATCGAGGCGTACTTTACTTTTTGAATTTTGTACTTTCTTGACTACTGTGGCCTAGAAAATGGGAGATTTTTGATAGTTTTAGTCACTTAGTTTCTATTTTAGCAAAATACAAATATTAAAGGTGGTAGGAAGTGAGGACGCCATCCATTCCGGGCTGGAATTCTTTCGGTAATAGACTAAGTGCATTTTGTTATCTTAAGGATAAGATTTCTGAATTTATTAAAGGTATTACAAGGCAATCTCAGCCGTTTTTATCACTGAAATTGATTGCTCCGCGTCCACTACGCCACGCGTGTTAACACCCTTTTGTAGCGTAATGGCTCGCAGGCCAGGCACGCGGCTACAAGTTGCGCGCGTTGCGTGTCGAGGCCCGCGGTAAGTCCGCCATTAAAACAGTAAAGCCATTTCAGCTTGAATTTTTAAGGAGCATACAAGGCTCAAATTTTCCGACCACAAATTTTCATAAATTTGGCATGGGTGCGACACGTAACGCGCACGCCGCTTTCGATTACGCAATGAAAATAAATGTAGGCCCGACGCATCGCGTGTGGCGGCTCGGCAAAATCCATAGAGGATAGCAAAATTCATAGATGGGCAATGGACGAGCCTTGCCACCAATCTAATGAATGTTTTTGTAGGTTATCTGCTCAATAATTGTTTCACAAATTCGAAAATATTCGAAACAAATATATTACAAATATATAACAACCAATGATTATTCATCTGTACGAAATACACCAAATTCCCACCTTTTTTATCTTCCATTTTTGGTGTCAAACTGTTTTTCCATAACAATAACAAAGGTACCCTTCTTGTGACTATGCTTCTATCCCGGTTTTTTGGTGCGTCACCTCCGCCCCTGGGGTGGTGAGGCGAAAAATGGCCCCTGGGAAAGCTGACATTCGAACCCGGTCGCGAGACGCTTTTCCTTAGGATTTTGGAAGGCCCGCATTTCCAGGCTCTACATTTCTCGCATGGTTGCCCATATTAGTCGATTTGAGCCGAAAACAGCAAGAATAGGGCATTGATGCTGGTTTTTTGGACTGTTTTTGGAGGCTCGGAATAGATTTAGGGATTACTTTTAGAATCGTTTCGATTACTTCCGTCTTCAACTAATCTGATTGGTTGATAAATGCAAAACCTCCTTTATGTAGATACTTAAGTAAGTTAGAATTTGATGCTTTTGACTTATTAAGGGTTGGTTTTAATAAATAGAGCTTTTTTAAGTTAATCGTAACCAGGAATTACCTAAATTTCAAGTATGATTCTGTTTTAAAGGTTTGCTAGTGATCAAACACGTAATATAGCGTTATGTTCAATACGAACAGTAGCTATTAATCAAAAAGCGTAAAATACGTTATCTTTTGCTCCAAATGGAGCTCGGACCATTCTTTTAAACGGACAAATCATAACTGCGAATCCGGTGCTTGAGGATTTGCTCTGAATTTGCCCCGCTGTGACACGCTACGCATCACTTTGCCCTGCGATGGCGTAATCGATTACGTTTTGTGATTACCATACCAGTTCTAAAGGAAATCGCGAGCCGGGTATGGTCGGTCCCGCTTTGGCTTTTTGGCTTCGACAAAACAGTAAATCCCATTTTCAACCCCAAGCTAGTCGTGTTTTTAATCGTTAAATAAGCCAGCGCGAGAAAAGGCGTTTGTTTCCCCACTATGTTTTTTGAGGAATGGGGAAGATTGCAAATCTACCGGTCCCCAGAGATGCCCCCAATTTCCAGAGGGTGCTCCTGCTCCTCCCTTCTACTGGACATGGCCCCTTCCGTCCGTCCCATTCCCCGACTTTGGCCTCGCCTCTCACAAACAATCGGAATATATGCCACACGACTTCCGACTAGCATTCGTTGCCGTTATTTGGCTTACGAAAATTTCGCAAAAAACGAGGGTGTCAATTTCAAGGCGGCGTTCAAATTTTTCCGGGTGTCTGGCAGTGTTTCGGCTACATTTTAGGTGCCTTGGTTCATATTTATTGGCTGTTGTTAATCTTATATTTTGCATATGCTATTTTTAAGCGTGATAAGATCACTAATCGTCCTTGTATCAAGCAACGCCAATTTTTACATCTATGAGGGTTATCTAAAAATTATTAAAATCGGTTTTTAGCGTTTTATAACATGACTGAAAGGAAATTTAGGAATCAATTTGAATTAATTCATCCATTTTGTATTGTCGGTCTAATAAAATCGATGATTATTATTATTTAAAGGGAAATTGCTATATGGTCATTTTCTTGGCTCGACGCCCTATTTCGAGCCAAAAACAACGTTTGTAGAAATCTCTATTATTTTATTTTTATTTTACCAGGTGAAACTCACAATTCGTCATATATTTTGTTTTAAAATTGCATTTAAAAATACTCACCGCAATTTTTGTTTTCAGGTTCCGCAACCACCGACTCGTCCTTAATCTCCAGCACCAAGCTCTTGGGCGGAGTCCGGGCACGCGAACTGGAAACGGCCAATTTTTAGGTATGGAAAATAACGTAATAGTAACATAGTAAATAATGATATATTATAATGGTAATAGAATTAGGATCGTAATGTTAGATTAGAAATATAAATATTTCCATTTTCCAGAGCGCATTCTAATGCCCGCCTATGGACATCTGGCTTCACCATGAACGGCACCAGCGAAACAGGAATCATCAAGTCAAACGAACTACTGCGGTATGAATGTTCGATTTTTTGCATGTATTCCAATCTATTTAATGCGTTTTTAAAAGCTAGTTACTAGAAAAATTACCTTCTTCCCGATCTCCTCTTTTTCTCCTTCGTCGGTGACATGATAATGTCATTAAAAACCGGCTCTTCCGGTTCATAGTTCGGATTTGAATCCGGGTCCTCGCGATAGCTGGGAATCCTAATGTCCGGAATTTGTTGCGTGGCGGTTCCTGCGAGCTCCTCGGTACTAAAATTCGACTTAGAAGCTGTTACTAAGGTATCTAAGGTACCTTTTAACTTCCAGTGGCCTCCCGCATGTGTTGTAAAAACAAACGAGCAATACCCAGCCGATCAAGAGGATAGCTATTCCAATGCCAGCAATTGCCACTAGAACTCGAATTTACTGTACTCATCTTCTCTCGCTCTTTCCCTCTCACTCTCTCGCTCTCTCTCTCTCTCACTCTCTCACTAAATCGTTGTTTTGAATTTTCTTAAACCCACCAATGAGCCACCATTTGTTTTCTTGCGTCTCTTCCAGAAGACGCTCAGCTAAATTTATATTTTTTTGCAATAGTTAATTGTCAAACTGACTTTGCAACTTTTCAAGCGGATATCGTAGTACAGCTGAGACATGTTGCGGTGTTAACTGGGCCATATCTTCGATGATGATCTAGAGAAATAAAATTGAATACGAAAGATAGAAAGGTAGAGAGAGAGAGAGAGAGAGAGAGAATGAGCGAGAGGGAGAGAGGATTGATACTTACATCAGCCGTAATTGGCACGCCATCAATTTCTGTGTAGAAATAGATGGTGGTCGAGAGTGCATTTGTAACAATTTTTTCGATCTGAAACGGCAAATTAAGGTACAATTCCATCTCACTCTTTATTTTCGTGACAAAACGAAAAAATAGCGATTTCTAGCCCTTTTTCGAGGTTTCACGTAAGTTTTATTTCCCTTTAAAAACCTAAAAAAATTCATTCTTTTCGCCATTTCTCCTTTGATCTTCCACCCAAGGATTTGCCAGAAACACGAATTTCACTACGACGAAATTCCAATTTCGCGCGTACTTTCGTTACGGCGGCTGTCATCTGGGATGTGTGCCCCCCAATTGCTCTTGCCCTGCGAGGTGCACCACCATGTTTTTCATGACTTCGGAAGATCCCACTTGGACCACACACGACTTTCAGCGCCCCCCTCCCCCCTCGCATCCCAATTAAAATGGGAGGATGTCCCGGTTTCTATATATGGAGATATGGATATGGATATGGATAGAATAAGACCAAGCAGTGCAGTCTCGTTACAAAACCGACTTCCGCTTCCAAATTTGAGCTCCAGCTTTAAATAGCTCAATTAATATAGATCGTTAGAATTTAAAGTACTAGGAATTACGCGAATCGACCCCAGCTTCCGCCTAGGTCTCGAAGGTGTTTGCTTTTTATGCAATCCGTGTTTATGCCTTGCCCGCCTCTCTAATGAGTCGCTTTATGTACAAAAAGTTAGGCTTAGGCTCAGAATCTAAACACAAAAATATGACGTTTTTTAAGTTTTACTAGCTTTGTAGTCGTGACACCTTCTTGTTCTCAGCAGATTAGCTAATTAAATCTCCGCAAAACCTCTCCTCACAATTCCAGGCCGTTTCGTTATCCTTAATTTTAATTCCACTAATTTCCGAATTCCAGTCCATTCACCACCACCGCCAACTGGCCAGACATCGATTTGAGGGTGGATGGGGGAGGATGGGGAGGGGGTGAAGCTCTTTTGGAAGACCAAAAAGGAGAGTGGAGAAAGATGGATGCGAAGATTGGACGACCATAAAAAAGGGCCGTTTCGGGAGGGACTGGCTGGGCCCCAAAGAATGGGAAGACCCCCTACTGGCTTCGGAACTGCCAGCAGCCCCTACTAACCCTCACTTTCTCGCTGTCGCTCTTGATCCATTTTGCGAAACTCATTTCTGGCCCTCTGGGTTTTGGAAGCTATGGAGCTGGAAACGTCACTTTACAAATATCCGCATCCCTTTGGATCGTTAAGAAGAGGCTGGGATTACAAAGCATTTAGTGTGCCCTGGTACCTTGAAACTCATGGGTTTTTTTTTTTTTGTGGGGGGGGGGGGGGGGGGGGGGGGGGGGGGGGGGGGGGGGGGGGGGGGGGGGGGGGGGGGGGGGCGACGTAATACCCCCGCGCCTGAACAGGATCCTCACCATTACGACGGCTATTAGATAAAAGCGGGGAATTAAGGAAGAGAGAAGGGATGTAGAGAGCGGAAAAACACAAAAGAAGAGAAAAAAAAAACAAACGGAGAGGAGTTCGACTCCTGGCCGCCCGGAAGATTCTTCCTTTATTCAAGTTGGGGGGACCAACCGCTTTACAACACAAGCACAGTCTAAAATTACAAGAGTTTGTGCTAGCAATCCTTCCTTCATTTAGTGCTTCGTCCTTTCAGGCCAAAAATGAGCTTTTACACGCTTTACCTTAACTTCAACATCCCTTCTAGCCTTCTCGGCAAACCGCGCTGCTGCTGCAGTTTGTAGTGACGTCTTCGGGCGGCAAGGAACACCATCCCTGAACCAACTTCGCCAACCGCTCCTCCAGATTGCGCTTTGGCTCGCTGATTTCGCCATTGGCGATCACTAAGAAAAGTTATTACTCTATACGGACAAATCGATGCCTGTCTGTGCCAAGTACGCGCTCGTGGTCTCTGTGGTGTTAGCCCGGTCCCGAATCCAGAGAAATCCGCGATTGATGCAGACGCTGGAGCTCAGGCGCAACGTCATCCCGTCCATTCGGGTGCATCTAAAATATTTTTGTAACTTCGAATTTCACTTTTGTAGCTGAAATTTTTACTCGGCATTAGTATCAGGTCCCAAGTCCTAAATTCTCAACTTCATTTCCCCTAGCGTCTCGCAAAAATTTTTTCCACACAAAAAGGCGCGGACCGCCGGAAGTAGGTCCGCTCGCCCGTATGAGGGCCAAGTTGCTGGAAGCAGGTTTTCGAATTCTAAGAATATCGTGTGCAGTCGGGGCTCGTCATCGATACTTTAGGGATACTCGACCCAAAACAGTCCGTTTTCTGAAAATAGCCGAACCCGGTGCCGATTAATGTTAATTTTTGATACAGATGAATGTTTATGCGACTATTTATTTCAACGAAAAACTTACCATTTTTTACAGGTTTTGAGGCGATAAATTTCTGCATTCACAGGTGCCAAGCATTTTCTAAGCTAATCTTGTAGTACTTTGGTGACTTTTACACCTGCGTAAAACAGGCTATTCAGGTAGTCGGGGGTATCGAATTTTCATTAAACTACCAAATTCTATGCAAAAAAATCGAACTCCCCTAAGATATGTTAGGGAATCTTAGGCATTTCCATCAAATGATAGAGCAATTTTTGCCACGAAAAGTCATTATCTTTCCCCATTTGGTATCATAGTTATCCTACCCTAGCGTTACGTTCGACTTTGTATCCTGGCGCTACAAAGCTACAGGAAAACTGCAAAATGGTTGGAATCGATCCGTTCCCACGTGAAAAACCTATTCTCGGTGCATCTAATCCCTGAACTTTTCCTTCTGTTGTTCTATCTTCCTCTAGTCAGCCATTGATCCACCACTTCAAGTGCTACTTTTGTTTGGCGCCTACCCCAAGTTATTCTAGCCTCCAGCAAGCTTCATGCTAGAACTGAGTCCTAGTGTGTGAAATGTTGGTCTTCCTTCCCCACCCTAGAAGGGCCCTTCTTCCCCTCCGCAGCACTTGTTTATTTTTGCCTAATTCATCACGGA